CACACACATGGACCAGGTACACACTATACACACACTATATGTTCCTACACCATGAAGGTTGCCGCTGCCTCGTATCGCTCTTGGCTAGCTGAAAGTTATCGTTAGCTTTGTACCACTATATCATTTATTGATGGCTAAAATCAACACTTTTAGCTGTTGTTGTTGTTGTTGTTGTTGTTGTTGTTGTTGTTGTTGTTAGCTGGGGAAGCTAATGTTAGCCAATTAAAATAACCACTAATGTTATCTGGCCCAGATTCTTGGGGCTTCTCTGACTAACAACAACAATAACAACAGCTGACTGTTGATTTGAATCAATAAATGATGTTGGCCAACAAAGCTAAAGTGTATAGAACGATTTTGCTTAGTTATCTAGCTAGCAATTTATTAGCAATCAAGCTAACAATATCTAACTAAAAGCACAATCAGACAATAACAACAACAACAACAAGCTTTGCAGTGATGTTAGCTTTGACTTTGGACTCCATCCGCAGCCGTTGGCAAACATTATTCTTCATTCCGGACAGGAAGTTAATGGGGCTGATGGGAAATGTGGTCTTAATATGCAGAAACATTCAGTTAACTGCTCTGATTCTGACTGCGTCTGTTTCTTTCAGGTGTTTGTGAACTTTGCGAAGGACCAGAGTGACGACTATCACTCCAAAGACAACTCTGTGAGGCGGAAGGACGTCGCCATCGAGGTTCCCGCTCTGAGCTCGAGTCAGGGCGGCGCTGAGGACGGGGCGGCACTGAGGGAGAGCGTCATGTGATCAAGTTTTAGGAGGCTGAAGCTTCAGCCTGGACTCGACCTGCTGTAGAGGACGCCCCTTCCTCACCTGTCGTGATGTTATACTGATTTGAATACTGTGGGCGGAGTCACCTGCTGCCTTATGCCAGTCAATGCAAATGATTTCCTGCGGAGGCGCCAAGTCTGGCCGCCGCCGCCGGCCAGACTGAGTGTTAAAAAACTTGAATAACGTGTTTCATCCTCTAATGAACTGTTCAGGGTCTGATGAAGAATCCAAATCATTTCAAATGGCCAATTTTTAAAAACGTTTGATTCCGTTTTTATCAGAGTTTATTTATATATCTGAGTAATTGGTTTTATTTTAGCGAGGCGGCATTACTGTTTCCTGTAGTGTTTAACAGCCAATCAGAGCGCTCGATGCAGAGCGCCGCACAGAGAAGAGTTAATTGATTTTCTAGTTTTTGTAAGAAAAGGTGATAAAGAGCTGATTTGTTAGTTTGGTGTGAAGCAGTGAAATACCTCAGCAGCTCCTGGAAGCACACTACAGTATTGAACAGTTCTCAAACAGCTGATCAATCGATCGATCGTCTCTCCTTCACATTCCTGATCAGACTGAAGGAGCTTCAGCACTTTATGTGTTCACACCATCAGTTTGTCTTTGCACTGAAATCCTCCATAGCTGTTTGATTCTCTGATCAATAACAGGAAGCGATTGATCAATGTGACAGAGAAGAAGAAGAAGAACTGTTACTGGAGCTCAAACACACAATAAAATGAAACAAATCCTCCGTCTGCTGTTTGATTCTTCTGATCATCATTACACACATTGATCTGACCGATATTGATTACTGATCACTTTATATGTTTAAAAATAGATCCTATTAGACCCCAACTCAAGAAACAAATTCAGAAAAAAGAAAACATTAACAAGCAATAATAATTAATTAATAATTGTATACATAAACACAAAGTCACAGTGAAGGGCTTCCAGTAATTCTAGTTTTATACATATATAGTGTATATATAGTGTTTATAGACACACTTTTTATATATATAGTGTCATCAGCTCAGTCTGTAGGGACTGACCACAGTATGGAGTGTAGACTGGCAGCTGAAGAGGTGCCAGTTCCACCTCCTGTGTGCTTGAGCAAGGCACTGAACCCCTAACTGCTCCCTGTGTGTGTGTGTGTGTACACTGAGTGATTGACTGAGGGATTAATAAAGTCATTAAAGACTCATTCACTGCATGTGGCTGTTTTTCTTCCTGTTTCCTCAGTTATTACAGATAAACAAATTCTAACGTTAATATATTAAATATCAGATATTAGTGTTAATGAATTAAAAAACAAATGTTTCAATATGTCAGATTACATTCATTAATTTTTTTCTTTAACAGCTTTTAAAGTGTCGGTTTAACAAGGTATAAATCTGTCAGAACCCAAAATACAAGAACAATGACAAAAAATATACAAATCTTTAATCTTAAAATAATATTAATAAATGAAATATAGATTGAAAGAACTGTAATGTAAAGTGTGTTTTTATCTCTCATGAACTGTTATATTCAGTCATAATTTATGATATACAGTTTATAATATATAACAATAAAACATAATAAACAGATAAGCGTTCATGTCTCGGTTTATTATTGTTTACATCAGACAGGAAGCCCCACCCACCTCCAACATCCAGACCTCAGGATTGGACGCTGTTGATGTCACTCACACACTGACTGACTCAATATCAATTATTCATTTTTTATAATTTGACATTAATATTGTTAATAATAATAATTGTTAATGAACAGCGTGCTGAGCTGTTATTGGGTTATCAGGGAAGGGGTGGGGCTAGGTTACAGGTTGTTACAGTGTTTGTCTCTGTTGCCGTGGAAACGCAGGAGTGAGGACAGGAAGTGGAGGACAGGAAGTTACTTGAGTGGCGAGAAGGGACACGGGAACATGAGTTTATTCTCCTGAGAGTCCAGATGGACGACGCTGTCTCTGACTGAGAGACAGAGAGACAGACCTGTTAGTGCTGATTGATTATTGATTGATTTTATCACTGACACCTGCTGCAGGGAAACAGACTACTTCATAAAGTAATAATATTCATATGATGTCACATTGTGATGTTGTCACATATGTCACATGATTAATGTCTGACATCACTCAGTGTGTTGTGGGCGGAGTCTCACCTGCAGCGACAACTCTGGCATCAGTGTGAGCTTTGTGTCGAATTTCAGCTCGCTGGTCGGCGCTCTCGAACCACCAGAGGGCGTGAACTGACCGAGTGACACCATCAACACACACACACACACAAAGATTCATTATAGTTTTACAGTCTGTGCAGTGTAGTATTACAGTGTAGTATTACAGTGCAGTATTACAGTGCAGTATTACAGTGTAGTATTACAGTGTAGTATTACAGTGCAGTGTGCAGTGTAGTATTACAGTGTAGTTTACAGTGTAGCTTTACTGTGTAGTTTAACAGTGCTGTGTGCAGTGTAGTTTTACAGTGTAGTTTTACAGTGTA